GAGCTGAGAGGCCAAAGAGGGCTACGTCTTGCAGTGTAACTGCACTGCCTCTATGAATTAGTGTGAAATCTCAGGCACTTCATTCCATGGGCAATGACCCCATCGCTCAGTAATGCAAGCCATTCTGTCTGTCCAGTGCCCAGTGGGGCAGCTGTCCTCTGAGATACCACACTGTATCGTCACTGACTTTCACATGAGCGAGAGTGTCCAGGAAAAGGACGAGTGACCTAGAGGCTGCACACTCAATGTAGCATCACCTTTGGCTAACCAAGCATGTTGATCCTTTCCAGTTATGGGAAGCCATTCTTTTCATTATATTCTATTTTTGGCTTGTAAACAGTTTTGAAGGGGAAAAGGTTCTTATTTTTTTTGCCCTCCCTCTTCCTCCACCCAACGTGATATCACCAGTCTATATTTGTTGGAAGGAATTCTCCGAAAGGATTACGAAGCCAGAACACTGTCTCTGGTGCTAAAAAGGCTGAATGACCTGATAAGTTAGCATTAGCCGAAGAATTCAGAACTCATCGGCTTTACATTTTCCCAGGAATCTGTCGCTGCTCATAAACAGAGTAGTAAATGATGATCTGTGATTGTAAGGAAAAGAGAGGGAAATAAAAATTAAAATCAGGCTGGAGTGATGAAATTTGAAGAGTCAGAGAAGTCACCATCATCTGACAAAGTTATCTCTCATATAGGTGACCATTTGGGAATGTAGATGTTACACTGGGGTTTGAACCCTAAGGAAAACTTGTATCTGGTGACGATCGGCACTGGTTCATTGTATGCTAGGCTCTGCAGAATATTTCAATCAGCCATTCAATTGAAACTCCTTTCACGTTAGTCTGTCTATGCCACTTCACATTTATGCATTCATCCACTTTTTCATTTATTATATTTATAAATCATAATTTCCCCAGATGTAAGTCAAGCCATGTATACCTCTTAAAGCAAACACTCACTCAACAAAAATTAAATTATAAAGTGCAGAGCTAATAAAATACAGTCAAGAAATGGGTTTAAAAAACAGCTAATATCAATAGCAATTGTAGCAGTGGTAATTTCAGACGGACTAGTTCGAGTCGTGTTGTGGCGATCTGGGAAATGTAGTGGTCATAACAAGGGATCCTATAAACAAGCATTCCTTCCTCCCCATCCCCACCCTTAAAAGCATGAATGAGGAGAAGATCTTTTGTAAAGTGAATGGCTCTTAATTGTCCATTCAAGGCCAAGCCACACTCATACATTTTGCATATGAAGGAAGAAATAAGGGAATAGCAGGGATAATGTATTCCCGAAGGCTTTCATGGCCGGGATCTAATGGCTGTTGTGGGTTTTCCTAAAGATGCCAGCCACAGAGACTGGCGAAACGTTAGGAAGAACAATCTTCAGAACAAGAGCCCAAAAACCCACAACAACCATATCAGGGATAGCTTGCGGCAATGTATTGTTTCTGTACACCAGGGAATTTTGTACATCCATTTCTCTATTACAATTACTACGACAATTGCAGCATAGCTCAGAAACAGCTGGAGAGCCTTATTAAGGTGGCAGATGATGTCACAGTCCTGGCTAATGTGAAAAGTATTAGGGCTTCAGCAGTGTAAGCCCTGGCTTCCCTACACCTTAGCAATTCACCACACTCTGTGGGCCCAGGGGCATGTTGCAATGCACAGAGAGAACATACTGGTCTAGCTATTCCCATCCCAGAAACATGCTGTCTGGGGTAATGGGAACTGTAGTCCATTATGCTGATGGGGGAAACCAGTTTGGAAAATTAGTTTGGTGGCCATTTTGCTATTGCAAAGCATCCTTATGAAAGAGTGACTTCCTAGGGAGAAATATTGGGAAGAACATTTTATTGTGGAAGAATATCCACACTTTTATCCTTGAAATTCTACCCCTCCGGATCTACTACCCAAAGTCTTTGCTATCTAGCAAAGTGTGAAAAGGACTGAGGCAGGAGAAAAGTTGAATAACAATAAAGACACAGGAGAAAAGCACATTCTCTTCTAGAAATAAGCACCGACCGAAAGAGAAGCAGCTGCTGGGCTAATATAAGGCAGCTTTCATTTTGTCCTTCGCCTCACTAGACACTTCTTTCCACCAAAGGCAGAAGCTTTGTAACATTTAAATAAACTGGTAGACATGGAAGGACAGTATTGAAGTTGGGGGGCAGGAGAAAAGGCTGTAGAGTAACTCGCAGCAGAATCTGGTACACAAGAGCACCTGGGGCATGGCCCTCCCTCACTCTTGCCTGGCAGTTTGCTGGAGTCAGAGCCCAATTGTTTCTTCTTTGTGCTGTGGATGCATACTTGACTGCTTGAGTTATGTATGAGTGCTCACCTTGGCCCTAGCTCTGCCTGTTCCCCTTGGTCCTGCCCACCAGTGCTGTACCTTTGCAATGGGCAATGGCTGTCATAGTGTGGCTGCAGTATCATTTAGTCCCATCCAGTTCCAACTACAGTAAACATGTAAGTAGTTACAAGTAATAGAATTATTTGTAACTCACTATTTTTTGAGGAAAGAGTCATGTAACTAGTAATTGTGAATTTACTTGTAGGTATAGCAAGCAACTTCTAAGTTACTTAAGTGAAAGAAATACCAAGTAATTCTTTTCAAAATGTAACATCATTTTTAGAAGAAATTTAATAGGACTTTTTCTAGGTGTAATGCCATTCTTTTATGAAAACTTAAATGGTGAAGGAGGGATTACTTGGTTTCATTATTTGTCTTTTTCAGGTGGTCGCTGCTATGAGTAAAACGGGGATGAAGCGTGCATATGCCACTTTACCCTCTTCAGAGACAGAACAAAAATAATTCTTTTAAAATAGCAGTAGCAACAGTTTAAGCCACCTTTCTGTATGTAGAGTGACCTGTCACTAACAGGCGGAAATCCATTAGCATGGAACAAAACCCCCTTGAGCAGGCAAAGAAAAAACAAGCCAGAGTACACCAGGAAGATGTTTGTCTCAGAGCAGATTTCTAAGGTCTTTATCCTCCATTGAACTCACCCGTTGTAACTTGAAGCTTCCCAAGCATGCCACCATCTGCATAGTCAACCTATACATCTTCCAAAAGTCTGATTATATTTTTACCCTGGCTTCCTACAGCCCTGGCAGTAACAAGGGGTAAGTCTCAGACACGTTATGAAATCTACCCAGAGTTCAAAACAGTTTGCTCTCTACTACATAATGCTCCTGCTTAAAATATTAATAAATTAACTTAATATCCATCCTGTCAGTGGCCACACTGACTGGGGATTTTGGGAATTGTAATTTAAAGAATTAATTTCCCAAATTCTGTATGTGAGGCATATTTGGTGCTAGTACAGACAGTCAATAGGCCAGAACAATCTAGGATTCAACCACAGTTAGAGCTGTGGATTTTTTTACACATAAGACCTTAACACATGATGTACATGGACCTTTCAAGTAAAGTTGGTAAAATAGGTGAGAGGGGAATTGACAGCATTCAGCATGTTACCTTTTAAAATGAAATGCATATTGTGACTCAACAGGTTTCTTTTACCTTTATCATTGCTTGAGATTGTGCACAAATAAGTACGGTAATTCTTAATTAGTTATGACACTCTAAATGCAATGGTGGAAAATGCAGTGTTGAATTACCACTAGTTAAAACGCCACTGTGAATATCCTTCACTGTGTGAGCTGCTGCACAATTAGGGACAGAAGCAGCAGCTTGCTGTTGGAATTTATTCCACTGCACATATGATAGTGCTACAAACTAACAGGACTCTTGTCAATGTCTTATATGGAGTTGTATTGTAAGTGTCAGCAAGCTAGAAAAACGGGAATATTTTCTGGTTCTCTCTAGTGGCCAATTCTGATATTGCATCTTGTAAATACATCAATAAAAACCAAAGAATGCTTTCCTTGACTGTTAGAGTGCAACTAGACAGCTGAATTATCCCAGCCTGCATTTGTCTACATTGTGCTAAACAGGGTAATTTTGATGTGTGGCATGTCATTTGGGGGTGACACTTGCATCCACATGCAAGGATCAACCACTCAAGTGACCTTGTTTAGCCTGATCAAGACCAGTGTTTCCAACCTTGGGTCTCCAGATTTTTCTTGGACTAAAACTCAAAGAATCTAGCTGTTCTGGCCAGAATTCCTGGGAGTTATAATCCAGAAACATCTGGGGACGCCATGTTGGGAATCACTGAGCTAGATCAATCTTAATTTCTTTTAAGGGTAAAGAAAACAAACCAATAAACGTAATCCTCCTCCTGTCTTCTCTGTGTTTTACTTCCTGCTCCCTGCAGAGGGGAAGGGAGAAGAAGCTTTCCATCAGTTGCTAACTGATATAATGCAACAGTTATGCTTTGAAATAGCTTTTTTTAAACAACCGTTTCAAAGCATTGATGATGCATTGGTAACAATTAAAAAGAAATGGAAAATTTCTTCTCCCTTCCCTTCCATGAGGAAATGGGAAGGAAGCTTTCCATTTTCCAAGATCATTAGGCAGATTAAGCAAAGGGATAGTTGAACCCATCCATTTTAGTTCAGTCCCAGTGATCTCACACACACACACTGGCACCAAAGCAAAGCAGAGTGACCCTACCCGCACTGACATTTAAAAAGAAATGAACAAACAAAAACAGTAGCCTCTGACAGGGGCCCCAAAAGATGTGGATAGGCATCAATCATGGACAGGCTGGATTGCAATGGCACAAACATCATGTGGTTGCCAGGAGAACAGAACAGAACAGTCCATTCCCAGCCTGGACCAAACACCCGTCTG